GAACAGCTGTGAGAGAACACACACGTCAACAGCTGTGAGAGAACACACACGTCAACAACTGTGAGAACACACACGTGAACAGCTGCGAGAGAACACACTTGTGTTAACACTTGCGTGTTGACGTAAACACATAAGAGGGATATAGCGGCTACCACAACCACTGGTTGACCCCAGAGATTCACTCGAGTGTGCTGGAGGTTGTCTTTGGGGGATGGGGGAGGGTTAAGGAGGAGTGGGAAATGGTGGAGGGAGGAAGGAAGGGGGAGATGACACATGTATGCTCGTTGCTAGGTTCCTCTTGATGTCTCTCTCCTACTATTCTTTACCCTCCTCCTCCTCCTCCTCCTCCTCCTCCTTCCTTCTAATGCTCCTCCTACTCTCCCTCTTTATACTTTTTCCAACTATTCCTGCTATTCATCCTCTTCATGCTCCTCCTTTTATGCCTCTTCCTATTCTTGTTCCTCTTCGTATTGTCAACACAAACAATTATTCCCTTTGAGGGAATCTTGTTAATACTTTTATTATTATTGTGTCTTGGATAATAAGCTTCTAATTATCCCGATTTTTTTTAAGACTTGTATTGAGAGGCAAACAAAAGATGTAGATTTTGTCGAGGACGTATGAAGGATTTTTGGCTTTGTGGTGGTGTTATGGGTCCAAAAAGCCGCGTGGAAGCCCTCTCTATTTAATCCCAGTATAATTATAGCCTTAAGAAAATTGAACATCAGTATATGAAGCCTTGAGTTCGTTGACTGGACGACCCAGGAGATAAAACACGGCATTGGGGTCATCTTTTTCTTCTGGTTGGCGTGTAGAGTGGCTTGAATACCCGGCATGAAAGGCTTGTAATGTACGGCATTCAACACTGTTTGTCAGCGCTTCTTCCACGACCTCCAAAGCACACTGTGTGGTTTCCAAGATTGTCTCTAATTAGTGAGCGATAGATCTAAGGATGAGGATGGTGGTGGCAGGGGAGGGGCGGGGATCCCATAATTAGCGATGAGAGCAAGGAGGCAGCAGTGGTGAATAGTGATGCCTTATAATCTTAACACACGGGTTCCATGCCCCTCACGACGCTTTCCTCGTTGTCATGACAACCTCCCAACACACGTCTCGTCTGACGGTAAGGTAGGCGCGCGCACGCACACGTGTACACACACACACACGCGCGCGCGCGCGCACACACACACACGCACACACACACAAACACACACAAACACACACACACACCAGGAGCTGTGACTCGACCCCTGCAACCACAAATAGGTGAGTACACACACACACACCATTTACAACTGTTGGAGAGCTAGGGACAAATAGGAAAACTATAAGGATAACTAAATTAAACAAGAACCTTGCAAGGAAGAGGTTGGTAATAAACTTCATAAACGCTGCTCAGAAATTAAATAACAAAGTTTTTTTACAGAGTTGTACCGACCTAACATTTTTTTTTTCAGAAAAACACTATAAAAAACTAAAACCAGGTAAAGACAATGGCGAGATAAAATATTTTCAACTATTTCGTATACCAATATATACGAAGTTATTTAGGAATAGATATAAGAGACATTATAAATGAAAAGAAGCGTGATGACGTTGTGCAAGACGGTAACTACAGTGTGGAGGAGACGAGACGGTACGTAAGGAAGGACGGGAAGTTGTATTATCAGTATAAATTAGCAAGAAAATGGGAAATTTAAGAAAATGAACATTTAATGATAAAAATTAAAAGCTTATATGAAAACCCCATAATAGTGATGTATACAAGACAAGAGTTGCTGCGGAGAATTATTATAAGGGAGCGTTAAACTCGTAGGGATTATACAGTATCTGTGGGAGGGGGGGATGGAAGGTAT